GCCAAAACGTCACAGCCCGAAAAGCAATCGCCTTTCGCACGCACACACACACACAACCGCATGCAAGCACAAAACAGCACGCACGCACGCACACATGCACACACACAACAAAAGGCATGCACACTGCCGCGTGCGCGCCAGATACAGTACCATGCGTTTTCCGAAAGCGGTGTGGCATTGGCAGAGGAGCTCGAGAAGAGAGCCGGACGTGGTGCCGTCCTGCATGTTACACAGCACGTCCAGGTTTTGCAGCGTCTGGTGATGCACACACGGCGATGTGTGCACGGCACGGCGGTGGTCATGTTGAGCGCGAGCGTGCGCATGAGGGATTGGGCCGTGAGCGGGGGCATTTGCCAAATGTAGGTGCACGTGGCATACATATCAGCTTCCTCCTCCTCCTCGTCCTCGATCACCCAACACTCTCCTGCACCACCACCTGTCTCAAATCACCATCGCCTCCCCTGTTCTCTTTCTTCGGAATGTGTAAGAGGTATCCTTGTCCTCGCTCACCTGTCCATCAATGACGAGTGTTGCGCCGTGGTGGAGCGGGTCATACGAGAAAAACGTGCCCTGCGACAACAGGCTCTTATCTAAGAGCAGCGTCTTGAAATAGGACACCAGGCCTCCCAGCGCAGACATGGCCTCGTCTTTGCTCAGAAACGCACGCAAGCGCTCAGGCCTACACAGCGGCATTGGTGTGTGTGTGTGTGTGTGTGTGTGTGTGTGTGTGTGTGTGTGTGTGTGTGTGTGTGTGTGTGTTGGGGGCGGGGTGTCAGTGATAGTCGTGTCAGGAGATAAACAGATGCACGCACGACGAAAACGCGTGCAACATGCGCGTGTGGGAATACGTGTGAATGAGTGTGTATGTGAGAACAAGTGTGTGCGTATGTGAGAACAAGTGTGCATGTATGTGAGAACAAGTTGTGTGAATGTGTGTGTGTGTGCAAAGGCACCATGCTGTGGGCTCGTCGCTGTTGTTGTCTTTCTCTGCTTTCGCTGTGAAATAGCGGCCTGCCCCATACAAACCAACAAACACAATGGAAGACAAGTGTGAGTTGCCATGCTTGCATCATTCATGATACGCACAGCCAAGATGTCAAACACACGAACATGCATCAACACTTGCACGTGCACGCGTACCCTTCTCCAGGTTGTCGATGGTCATTTGCGATGACCAAAACTGGCAGTGGACAGCACACATGTATTTGGAGCAGAGATGAGAAGGGAGAGAAAGACAGAGAAACACATGGCTCACAGGAGCACGCACACACTCAGTGCGCAGCGTGTGTTTGCGGTGTGTGCTGTGTATTTGTGTGTGTGTGTGTGTTTGTGTGTGTGTGTGTGTGTGTCTGTCTGTCTGTGTGTGTGTGCGTCTGTGTGTGTGTGCGTCTGTGTGTGTGTGTGTGTCTGTCTGTCTGTCTGTGTGGGGGTGTGTGTGTGTGTGTGTGTGTGTGTGTGTGTGTGTGTGTGTGTGTGTGTGTATGTGGGGGTGTGGGGGTGTCACCTCTGTGTTTGGGTCGAGCCAGTTGAAGATGCTGCCACCAACGTTCGCC